CTTCGGTGTACGCCAGTAGGTCACTAATATTTGCAATATGATCTTGAGCGTCTCTTCCTTTTCAAAACCCAGCTTCAACATCAGGCATTTCTTGTTCTATATAAGGTAAAGGCCTTTGTTGCAGCACCTTGAACATCAATTTGCTTGCATGGGAAATTAAAGCAATGCTCCTTTAGTTACTAGACTCTTTGGCATCTCCTTTCTTGGGGACTGCAATGTATATTGAACATTGCCAGTCTCTAGGCCATTGTATTGTTTTCCCTGTTTGTTGGCACATTCTTGTTAAGATTTTGACAGACTCCGTCTCTGGGGCTTGAAACAGTTTCTATTGGTATTCCATCTACCTCTGGAGATTTTTTTTCCTAATGCTTTCAGAACAGCTTTTACTTCATGTTATAGATCTGTGGGTTCTTTGTCATAGGATTCCTCTTCAAAGGAGTCTGTCATCCTTTCATCTCTTCTGCACAGTTCTTCAGTATACTGTTTCCACGTTCTCTTTGTTTTCTCCTGGTCATATAGTGTGCATCCCTGTTTGTCAGTCAGTACTGTATTCCCAATCTAGGCTGACATTTCCTTTTGATTTTAGATCTTCTGGAAGAGATATTTGGTTTTTCCTCTTTTGTTGTTCTCCTTTCTTTCTTTCCACTAGTGGTTGTTGTAATTTTCTTTGTCTCTGTGTGACAGTAGCTGAAAAACTGGATTTTGACTCTATTTCTACTGCCTTTTACTTTTGCTTCTTGTCTATCCTTTAAATTTTAAGTGATTCTTTCATCATCCATCATCTTTTTGCATGTTTCCCTAATAATACATACATCTTAGAATTGCAAGGGACCCTATAGATCATCGATTTCAGCCCCTGTCAAGGAGGCACAGTGCAGAACTGAACTCCCAAACGCTGGCTCCTCAGCCAGATACCTAAACTACTGAACTATCCAGCGGTCCAATATATCTGGTTTCAATCCACAGTTCTTTTGGTTCATAGTCAACTGAGTTTAATAATACAAATCTGTTCCTTATGTAGACTTTAAATTCATCAAAAATGTCATTTAAATTATATTTTGACACTATGATTCTTTCAGTGTTATTTTTCAGCTTTACTCTAATGTTGGATATTAATGGTTCATGATCAGTACCACAATATGCTCCTGGTCTTCTTTTGGCAGAGATAATACAGTCCAATTTAGTTCACTGACATCAAACACTGTAATGTTTATACATTTCAATTGTTGCTTTACAGTTTCCAGTTTACCCTGATTCAAATTTCTCATGTTCCATGTTCCAATTGTATGTGTTGTACAGCTTTGGACCTTCCTTTCACTTCTGTACACATCAGCCACTGGACATCCTTTCAGCTTTAATCTATTTGCACCATTAGCTATTTGTAATTGTCCTCTGCTCTTTCCCAGTAGCTGTTTGAGTGCTTTCTGACATTGAAGTCTCATCTCCCAGCATTATTTCTTGTTTGATTTTGTGCTATCTCATCATAGGGTTTTCATGGTAAGGAAAGCTCAACAGGGATTTACCATTGTTATCTATTGCGCAGTACTAACAAAAGTTAGTTTGAAAGACATTGTGCGTTATTAACCATGTTGTTTTTCAAATAAATAAGATTGCCCATTTGACTGTTCCTAGCTTAAAGCAAATATGGAACCATATGGGATTTGGCAGTTCAAAGCACTTGGCAGCCCAAAGCTCTGCTTTAGGTACAGATTAGCAGAACTCTTGAGAAAAGAGACCAGGGAGAAGAAGAAAAAAGGAGGTAGTAGCTCCACTTTTAAAAATAGATCCATGGGGGGGGGGAACAGTTGAAATTATCTGGGATCAATTGGAATCTGAATTATGATTTAAATCTGCTCAGAGAAGGGATGGCCTCTAGACTGGAGAAAATACTCTAAATCTTAATTTCCTTCAAAAATAACACTTCATTTGCATCAGCTTATTTTTTCCATCTTTTGAATTCTGCAGCCCAACATGTCTCCATTATGGATCTTACTGAACTAATCCAAATATCCTTGGTTACTGCCATTTCTGACATTAGTTGAATGGTTTTGTTTTGTTGTTTATTTGTTTGACCTAAAAGACCACCTCAGGAAAATGGCTTCATGTCAAACACATATTGTATCCTTGTAACAAAGTGTAACCAAAGCTTACAAAAAAGTCATATTCAGAGACTGCATAATAGAGGGTATATTTCCATTAATTTCTCAGAACTGTGAATTGTCCTAACTCTATTCAGGTGGTCAGAAATGGGTTAATCTGAAGTCATGTGTAGGGAGATTTTGAGCCACACACCATTGTCTGTTGTTGTCTCCATAGTGAAAAGGACTGTTTAAAAGGATTGTTTAAAGATCAATCTTTTTCTTAAAGCTTTAATAGGACTCCGTATTCTCAGAACTCTGAATCACCCTGGCAGATATTTTAAGAGAATGCATATAATTTCACATCAGATTGTTCCCTCTTTTTACTTCTACATCAGATTTTTATTTCATTTCACATCAGATTGTTTCCTCTTTACCTTCATAATCTATTTTGAGCATGGATGGTTTAAAGGTAGTGTGAGCCATACATTGGTTGGAGCGTCATTATGAGACTCCAATTTCACATTATGAAACAAGCCCGAAATCCAGAAGACTGAAGAGAGAAGAAGTTAGAGAGACTGAGAAACAGAACCAGTAAAAAGAAAGACAGAGACAGAACCGGTTAAAAAATAAAGGAAAGGGGGGCAGGTCAAGGAAGGCAAGAGCAGAAAATGAGGTAGAGGGCGGGATCAAGGAAGACAGAAAGAGTCTATGTGTCATTCAAAGAACAGAGTAGGACAGAGGTGCTAACCACAAGATTGGTGAGGTGCAAAGATGGCATGCTCAGACCAAAGAAAAGCCTTTCAAAAGGAAGACAAAAGTGAAATAACCCCCCCAATTTTGCTAAAGCTTTGGAGAAAGAGCCAGCAGCTAAAAAATAAAAAATAAACAAGGGGGGGAAATCAAAGACAAGGATCCAATCAAAGCACACTTCACGAGAAATGTGAACGGCACAGCTGCTGCATGAAGAGAGTCAATTTTGTCTCACTCAAAATACCCCCAAAACAGTTCACAGGATGGGGGGAGGGCATTTCCTCATTGAGATATTTAGTAGTTTGGCCTGTTTGATTTAAAAATCTCAAATCCCCCAAGAGGAGAAAAAAAAGGAAGAAGCCAGCTCTTTCGGTCTGAGACTGCAGGACTCTTCCCCCATCTCCCTCTCTGCCCTTGCAAGGTCCTTTTGCTCCCTCAGTTGTTCCCATTTTCCTGACTCCTACATTTTAAGCAAGAAAGCTAGAGAGTAAGATTTCTTCCTGAAGTAAAATGGCTAGAGACAAAAACAGCAAGGCTCCTGCGCTTTTGACAGCAAACAGAAGAGGGAATTTCAACAGGAATGATATGTGTGACAGGCTATGCTTGTAGAAATTTCTTTCTACCATACCCATTCTTTCTACCATACCAGGGGTTTAGCTTCAGATTCTCATATTCAGGGTTAAATGTTATCTCTTTGGCTTTTCTGTCAGCCTAACACACTGAGGGGGCCACATCTGGACACCATAGCCTGAGCAGAATGAAGGAACCTTGTGTTAATTCATTATGAAATAAGCCTGATATAATGTGAACACTTTATAAAGCACAGGTTTACGATTATAATCCCATAAAGGGCAGGGTTTGTGGAAATAATAGGAATGAAATATTGGCTTCTGTCTGAGCAAAATCAACAAGAATAGAGCAAAGCCTCCAATAAGTAGTATGCGCCCCAAGGCACATAGCCAGGGAAGAATAGGCAATATTTTTAAGACTACAGAAGATTGGGAGAGCTAGATTTATTACCTGCAGATTCAGTTTTACAATCTCAAGGTAATAAGGATGAAACCTTTTACTGCCTCTGATGAATATGGGAACTGACCAGATTTGCTTTCCCGGGGATGTACCTCACCAGAGCTTGACTCTGTTAAGCTGCAATGTGGTAGAAACATCTCCACTTCCTGAGGAGGCAGGACAGCTAGAGCAAGTGGCACTGGCTGTATGAAAAGAGAATTAAACTGGATGGCCATAAAAAGAAAAAGCTATTGCCCTTCCAAGACATCCTGGGGTTCATCATCAGAAATGAAACCACTCCACACCACTGCTGTTTGCTGAAATCCTTATTATCCTTTATTGAAGTGTGATTCACTGAATGCCGTGACTGAACTAGGCACATGAAAAGTGCCTGCTCATTTTCATCATAAATATTTTCAATATATATTTCTTGGCCACTGCCCTGATCTCTTTTCAACAGCTCATGGAAACCTTCCTGTTTAGGCAGGCCTTTGGTGGCAAATTGATTCCTAAGGACAGGGGGCATTTTCTACTGATAATGTGTAGTTACTTTAATTTAGTAGTTTTTAAAAGGTTTTAACCTTATTCTTCTTTAATATTGAAAATGTATTTAATTAAATTTTAATATTTAGAATTACAGGGTTTTTTACCTGTATTTGTTACACTGTAAACCAACTAAAGGTCTCAGTTTCTGAGAGAAAACCAGGATGTAATTTTTTTAAAAAAAATCTGAAGCTTGGTTGTTTCATACCAACCACCTTTTCCTTAGGGATGACATACGAATGTTTGTTTATTTCAGAGACACATCTGAGCACTCTCTACCTTTTGCACCAAAATCAACAGAGAACCATATTATATTTATGAGGCTAATAAACAATATGGACTCTCAAAGCAAACATCCGCTTCGGTGGTTAGGCTGGGTCTGGCTATACTGTCTTTCTAGTAAACACACTTTTCTACTTTTCTTACTATTAGTCGTCTCCCTGTGTGGTTGATTTCTCATTTTGTATTCTTATACATGCTTTGTGGGATAGTTTGGTCCTCTTCCTTCTGGAACCCCAAACAGCTCACCTGTCCCTGAGCACCTTAACATGGGAAAGCAAGTCTCTTATGCGAAAGAGCTAGTTCCTTCCCAGCATGCTCTCCTAAGACCTCACCAACCTTCCTACTAAACTGAACAGGGGGGAGCGGTCGTAAAATGGATCCTGGCCATCATACAGCGGGTACTCCGGAAAGATGTCTTCCTCCAGGTCCTCCTCCTCCTCCTCCTTCCCCACGTGCTGCTCGTCAGCAGGCTCGGTGATGTCGGAGTCAGGGTTCGAGAAGGTGGGGGAGGGGGTGAGATCAGCCATGCGCTCGCTCATGCATGTGTTGAAAATAGGAGAGCTGTTGCAGCCAGAGATATCTGAACTAAGGTTAGTACAACAAGATAGGAGACAAGTTAACACCATCTATTCCAAACACACACACAGAGAGAGAGAGAGAGAAAGAGAGAGAGAGAGAGAGTCTACGCTCACATCCCTTTTTTCAACCAAGCAGCAGTGTTAATAAGGAGGGGAAGGGATGAAAACCTCCCAGACCACACACAATTAACAGAGGAGCCAACAATACCATCAGCTGACAATTGTGAAGAGCCAATGCTATTGCAGAGGAAAATCCCAACCCTCTTCAACCAAAACCCATAGCTTTGTAATGTAACATTATTCTAACCAATTGGAAATGGAAATAATCCCACTAGGAATCCTAACAGTGAAATGGATTACACTTCAGAAGCACCAAAATTTGTTACAATTCAATGGCAAACCATTTTTGATGGTAGGTTCACAGTCTCCTGCACAGAACAACAACTCTCAGCTGATGGCATCACAATTTTTTTCTAATAGTTGCATGACAGGCACATGAGAACACACATTATATACTAGGCAGTATGTAGGAAGATATTCACATGACACAGAGAGAGAGAGAGAGAGAGATGTACAAACCTAACAGCAGGGCTTCTTAGCTCTGTCTCATTCTGCAATTTTCCCCCCACAGCTCAAGAACACAGTACTCACTCCCAAATATGCAGCAGGATCCTCTACACAGTACTATGTCGCAAATGGAAGGCCACCTTTTCATGGCATTTGTTTAGGATGGTTCCTACTAATCCAGAAATCACTATCTACAAACGGGGAGTTGTGCCCGAAGGACTATAGCTTAGCTTATATAAGCCTATACAATAAGGAACCAAGAAATCATTATGAATCTTGGAGCACACAAACCTTAAAACCACCCTGGAATTTGCTGTAGAGAAATTTTTGCCATCAGTGGTTCTGCCGAGAAAAGAAAGATGCTGCAGACACCACCACACTTTTGCTCATCAGACATAGCTTTATAGAAAGTGTATGTCAGTGTCTGTGTCTAACAGCACGTGCAATACTCTTTTCGAAAACCCTCTGCACTGGTAAAATGGAGGACAGCCCATTTAGGTATACACCAGATGGACAGAGAAAAATCATTACAAAAGGTGAAGTGTTGTTTGCATATTCTGCAATAAAGATGTGAGGGAGGGAGTGCACTAGTGAAACCCCTTCCTTGGGTCCTTCCATCACTATCGTCCAGTGCAGAACCTCTTTGTGAAAAGAGGAACCTCCTCTACTCCTGGTGGCTCACCATACAAACCAGAACACCACTCTTCTAATGTTCTGGATCACAGGGAGAGCCATCAAACACAGAGGAGGCTCTCTTTATCACAAAATCTCTCTCCATATGAGAAGAATGACAGAAACACACAGCTGTAATAGTGTGGCTAGTAAGTTCCTCTTCTTTGCATGTGTAGACTTCCCAGTTCCATAATGCCTGAACAGGACCTGAGATGCTATGCATTTCTCTTCATGTCCAATCTTTTCTATAGACACCTAGCAATCTCTGCTGTCCGGCAGAAGGGCTGGTAATGCTCCACAGCGTCCCTTGCCTTTGCCTTATCCATAGCCCATTTCTTTCCTTTTGGCCTCTTTGGTTTGACATGACAGTTCAGCTCAGTTCAAAGCTCTCACCTGCCAACCAGCCTGAACCAAGGGAAGCGATCATAAAAGGGGTCTCCACCAGTCACCACATTGTCACAGTCTTCTATAACACTAGACGGCACTTCGGCTGCCCGATCATACATCTCCCTCATCAGGTCCAATCTCTGCCTGCAAGGGAAGAGAAAACAAATTAGTTTTCACCATGAGCAATCCTCAACTGGTATACCTACACCCATATCACTATCCTATCTCTCAGGAGCTAGTGCTGAATCCTGCTCCTCTTATTAAATAAACACTACTAAAGGTTGGGAAAGGGGAGAGATTGTCCATCTCTCTCTATACACATCACAAAGCTCACCTAACAGTTGAGGGAGCCTCTTTGTGGTACAGAGTTTACAATAAGGACATCTCTATGCAAACTTCAGACCTGTTAATGCAGCACTAGTAGCCATCATTCAACCCATTCAGAGTTGGTAACCTGCAGAAATCACACTTCAATCCATGTGATGAAACTGGCCCAAATGTTCCTGGTCATTGACATGCCAATATCAGCCTAGCTCTAACATAAATCCGAAAATTCTTAATGATATCTCTTCCTGGAATTAAATAGCAAAAATGGGCTAGGAAACCATTTTGGCATTAAAGAGATTATGAGTTAAATTATCTCCTCATTCCCAAATTAGACCCACAAAGCCAAATTGTGATACACTAAGGACTAGAGTGAGGACTTGTAGCTCTCAAATAGCCTAGCAAGGCAAAATTAACACATGCTCATTTGAAAATTCTCATTTTTCTGAGGCATGATTGGCATATTTCAAACTAAAAGAGTTTGCTACAGTTTCTGATGATAAGTCTATGCTCTGCATTTACATGTCTTCAAAATTATTAAAGTTTCCCTGGCTATTGTCTCCATCTACCTGAGTTTCTCCAGTGTCCAGTAATGGGTTGCTCCATTCTTTTGGTCTTGCACCTCCACTGCCACAATGGTCCTTGGGAATGGACGTTTCTCGCGGTCTTTGGCAGCATCCGGAGGAAGCAGATCCGGAGGCAGAGGGGAATACAGAGTGTCTGTGAGGAGTACAAACTGAAACTGGACCTGTAAGTAAAGGATCAGTATTGATGGTTAGTGTTGCTTCAAGACTCTGTTATTTGTGCAAATAACTATGTCCCACACAAGTTGCTTGGATAAAATGTTGGTTTTGCCCTACACCTCCTTCCACTTCCCTTCTTTGAACAAGGAGCCACAAGTTTGTCAATATATATATAATAACATCTCTTTAACTTCTAAAAGATCTCTCCCCTCATTTATAATATCTCTTACTATGATGCTACTTCATAAGAATGTAAGAATTCCTTCAGAGGAGAGAAAGAGTCCACTTAAATAGCATTCAGTTTCCAAATGAAGCCAATCAGGTGCGTCTGCATGTTCAGGAGTATGGCATAAAGACAGCAGTATTCTCTTGCTGCTCCTTGTGAGCATCTGTTAATCAAGAACACGGCCCATGTCTAATTACCTCTGGTGAACCAAACTCCAGTGGATCATAAAATCATAACGAAGTTAGAAGGGGCCTATAAGGCCATCAAGTCCAACTCCCTGCTCAATGCAGGAATACAAATCAAAGGATATCTGCCAGGTGATTGTCTAAATTTCTCTTGAATGCCTCCACTGTTGGAGCACTCACCACCTATCGAGGTAATTGGTTCCACTGCTGTTCTGCTCTAACAGGAGGTTGTTCCTGATATTCAACCAAATCTGGCTTCCTGTAACTTGAGAACATGGTTGTGTGTCCTGCACCCTGGAATGATTGAGAACAGATCCTGCCCCTCCTCTGTATGACAGTCTTTTAAGTATTTGATAAATGCATTCATATATCTTCTCATTTTTTTTATTTAGGCTAAACATGGCCAGTTCTTTCAATCTTTCCTCCTAGGGCTTGGTTTCTAGCCCCCTAATCAGTTTTGTTGCCCTCCTCTGTTGCAGACACTATGGTCTGTGTGCACTTTGTGTGTACTTTGAACTTGTTCCAGTTTGTCAGCATCCTTCTTACAAGTGCAGTGTCCAGAACCATCTAATCCTTTTTAAAAGGGTGTATAAGGTAGCAGCTATTGGCAGAAATTATGCAGTAGCTCACTCTATAAGTTACATTTTTATTGAGGAAAAAGAACTTCCTTTTGATAGAAGTACCTACTTTAAATATAAGGTGAACCAAGTTTTTTGGCTGACCTTCAGTTTTGAGACAGAGTATACACTCTGTTCCTCAGCATATGTCTGCTGCTATATCTGTTAAGTAGGAATGCAGTAGGTGGGGGTTCATTCTGAGTTAGCTAAATGGAAGTCAACAACCTCATTGTGTTTTTGGAGTTGGTTTTCGTATCACCAAATGGACAAAATCCTGTTGCTTAGCATAGTAAGTCACACTACAGCAGTCAATCAATGGGGATTTATAGCGTCAATTCCTCCATAAGTTCCATTGACTCAAATAGGCTTATTCTAATTGCAACTTACTATGCTAAACAAAATCACAGTTAGAGTATGCCCATGTGAATCAGTGAGACTTACAGAGCTACTGACACACCAAATCCCCACTGATTCAATGGACTAGTGTGATTTACTAAGCTAAAAAATAGGATGTTGTCCAATGTATTCTACTGAAACTGTTCTGTTTCTGGTCGTTTTTTGCTGTCCCTGGTAAGTGTTATCTGTATAAGGGCATACCCTCTTTTGACAAGTTTCTTGTTTGTACTCTCAATCTGCCCAGATGTTTTCTCCTCCACTATCGAAGTGTGCCTTCATCATACTGCAGCTAAATTTTCCTATTTCATGATTTTTATGAATATATATCCAGTATGAGTTATTTTCTATCATGGATGCATGCCATCACAGCAACATATTAGTAAAACATAAAAAACCTTGACTGATTGTGGGTGCAGAGCTCAGGGCTCCAAAGCCAGATTCTAATCTCATGATACTCATGAGCTCACTGTGTGTGTTCCTTGATACTGTCATGATATGATGGAATGAAGCATGGTCTTCTCATATGTTATCATAAGTCCCCTCACACCCTGACTTGGCAAGTTAGCATAAAGGAAATAAGTGTGTTCTGTGACACATGACACACACAGGGGACAAGACAGTTTGGTGGCTAGGGGCATGGTCTCACTTGCCGAGTCCCTCAACATGCTCACATGAAAGTGGCAGACCTTGTAACAATATGCAGCAAGCTGTAAAAAGGGGGAAGCAAGACTAGTATGGGAGGGGCAATATGTTGTAGTAGGAACTAGAAGGAAAATAAATTAGAATATGAAGGCTAGCCATGTGATAATGGCTAGCATCATCAAGTTTGATCCATGTGGTACTATTTCATCCTCCTAAGGTACAGTAATAAAACTTCAAACACTTATCATTGCCTGTATCTGTGACAGAAATTGTTCACCTTTTTCTTTAGTTCCACACTGATGGCATTAGCTTCCTTTAAGAAAATGGCATTGCCCCACAGTTGGTCTCGGAGAGATGTGAATTGGTACCATTTCCACTTCCTGAAGGCCCACAGTGCCAACTCAAACTCCCGCTCTGTCCATTGAACTGTTGAGATAAAGGATCCCACAAGATTACTTTCTTGAAAGAGCAAGTCCTTGTTCCTATTGTCTAACAGCTTAAAACAAATCCTAAACTAGACGTAATATTTTGGATCTTGTTAAGGACATATCAAACCACAGCCCTATCTAACCCAGTATTCTGTTTCCGTAGTGGTGAACATTCCTGTGAGAAGCCTTACAAGCAAGGCACAAGAGTGCTTCTGTCAGTACTGCCAATACTGATAGTCTGTCTATTTAATTTTCTAACTCTGTTCTATTTAACCTTTGCTTCTAAATAATTCTACTTAACACATAATTCACACTCAAACAAGCACCAATGCTTCTCTTAGATTGTGATCAGGAGTGGAAAAAGCTTCCATTTTGGGTTACTTGGGGCACAGGGCAGTGCAAGCTATTTCCTAGCAACCGTGCAATGAATGACCAATTGTGCCCAAGCTGGACCTTCTTGGTCCAGAAGCGGAACTACTCTTGTTTTTGAGATCAGGCTGGAGGGCTTCCCAGATGGCTGGAGGGTTTACTTAAAGGGAGATTGCTCCCAGCAAAGCATCCCTTTCTGGTGTACTCTGACACAATACTTCCTTGTCATCTGATGACACCCTTAGTTATTATACCCACATTTTTTTTAAAAGTTGTACAATGAAAACTGTTATATAATATGAAATAGCTAGCCCAACAAAGCAGTGCATCAAGCACTACAAGATGTTTATCTGATTCTTGGTGGACACAGCAGGAGCCTCCCTGAAGAATGTGACAACTGTGAAAACATTCAGGCATCCCCTGGGCAATGCTGGCATGCTATTGGCTGATCCGCCCACTCTGGATGCATCACTGGATTGCGTGTGACACTAACAAAGAAGACCTGTGTCTTGTAACTATCATAAGTGCAGCCAGACTGTGAATGACGCTCATTTTGGTAGGATTATCTAAGCTCCAGTACAAATAGTCCTGCCATTTGAGCAGTTCTTCCCCTTATAACCTGTGATGTAAATCATATCTTCACAGAAGATAACTGGAAAGTGACACCTGGCATCGTCTGGGAAAGAAAGCTGGGATATGATGTAGATAAATAAAATAATAATAATAAACATTATCCTTTTAAAGAACAAGATAGAAACAAAAGATAGCTTCTGACTTCAGCAAAGTCAATACAAAATAGAGGCATGCTATATCACTGCTCTGTGAAACATTTGGACACAAAAGCTTCATCATTCCCCATTCTGCATATTTTAAATGTGTACTTTGCAGACACCATGGTTTGTGTGTATTTCTGCATTTGTAGCTGAATAAAAATCTCTGCAGGAGAAGCTGTCCATTCACACTTTTATTTTGTTAAATGCTTACCTTCATCTTCAGGTTCCTCTTCCTCCTCGTTAGCCTCGGGATAGTATCTAGAGTCCATCTGTTTCTGTAAAGCTTCCAGTTTACTCTCATAATCCTAAAGAAAATTAAAGATAATGTATTTTTGTGCCTGCTAACTAAGAAATTATTCCGTGCCATGCAGTTAACTGGTTCTTCCCTTCTCTTTTCTTAGAAATTAACACTTCTGTTTAGCAAACTGCAGAGTTCCAGAATGATGAGCTGCTCCACATAACCTCTGAGAACACTTCTAGTCTCAGATGATGGGGAGTATTAGATGGGACCTGAAAAGTGACACTGCAGAGGTTATAACAAGGAAACTACTGTCTCAGTCATCAACTGCAATGCACACTGTCCATCTCTGGATTATCTGATCTGGCTGCAGAAAGCAGTGAGTTTATCACTTACAAGTCTTTGCTGCTCCAGAAGGTAATTTGCCTCTTCTCTTTCCTTCCGGTATTGGTCTTCCAGTTCCTGAAGCCTGCATAAAGACACAAGATGGTTAAAAAGAATCACCACAAGTACTGTTCACTGCTACATCATCTTTTCCACATCCAAACAGCCTCTGGACAGAGGAACCTTACATATACTACATCAGACTATCATTTACTCTAGCCTTGTCTTCTCTGATGTAGCAGCTCTCCAGAGTTATTTGGCAGAATTCTTACTATTACCTGCAACCTGACTGATAACTAGAGGTGGTGGAAATTGAATCTGGGACCCCAGGCATGTGCTCTTACCGCTTACTATGGTCAAGGGGTTTCTGAATTCTCCATTCCTGCTCCTGAGCTCTTCCATACTCTTTGTCCCACTCACCTCTGCTCCATCTCTTGCTTCATGTCAATGCCTTGCTTCTCCAAGAGTTCTCTCTGAGCGAAAGCCCAGTCCACTGGCTCAGCAGGGGTCTCTGCACAAGGGGTGCGCTCCCGCTCTTGCCGTGCTTGCTCAGGATGGTTAAATCGAAAGACGTGGCTCTTCCCCATTATTATGCGATTTCCTGTGGGAATATGAGTAGGAACAGAGTGATACTCCACCACCAGTCCTATCTTTAGCTGAACTGATTTTATTTTATTAATTACGTTTAAAAAACAGATGAAATGGAAATACAATAAAAACATAATAACAACACACACATACATAGCCACTCTTGTTTTCTTTTCTTTTTTTCTTTTGGAAAATATTGTTTTTATGTGGACCTCTCTCTCTCTCTCTCTCTCTCTATATATATATATATATGTGTGTGTGTGTGTGTGTGTGTGTGTGTGTGTGTGTGTGTGTGTGTGTGTGTGTGTGTGTGTGTGTGTGTGTGCGCGTGTGTGCGTGCCTGCCTGCCTGCGTGCGTGTGTGCGTGCGTGCGTGCATGCGTGCACGCGCTTCTATAAAAACTGTCCAAATAACTAAATATATTCATGCTTAGTTGTCATCCATAAGTCATACATTCATACGTCGATAACACTGTAAGGCCTTTTACACACTGGATTATCGGTTGCTAAACTAATTTAACAGTAAGCACTGCACAGCTTTTAGCTAAGACGTTCACATACATAGAAACAAGCAAGGTAGCTGAATCAGAATGACTTCAGTGTAACTATGCTCAGAACAATGAAACTGTTTCCTAAACAGACAATTTCCATGAATATATCTGTATAAGGCAAAAGCAGCTCATATTTGGAACAGGGAAGATGCTTCAACTTGAATTGTTGGAGTGAGGCGCCCCCTCCCATATTTGGTCCATGAGCTGTCCTCCTACCTTTCATAGCTGGACTGCCCAGAATCAGGATCTATGAGCAAATCTCTTGATGATCTGCACTAGATCTGAAAAGATTCTACCAACCCCCCCCCAAACTCTATTGCTGAAATGAAACTGTGGGGTAACCAAAAACAAGAATATTTTGGGGAGCGCTTGCAAGAAGGAAATATGAGCTCAGCTGAGTTCCAATATTCAGCAGATGATCAAAGTCATGACATTTTTAAATTATGAGTCTCAAACTAATGCCTCCAGCTAGTGCATTTCTGAGTTCTTTAGTAAAATGAAATCTACCTTCCAAGGTGTTATAGTATCTTCTCCTTGCACCTAATGGCCCATGGCCCAATCTTTTCTCTTGGTCTGTGGACCTACCTGATCTTAAGATGCTGGGTTCTGTAACTTTCTTGCCATTGACATAGGTGTCTGCCCCTTCGCAAGGTTCCAGGGTCACTACTGCTGCGGAAAGGGCATATGTGAAAGTGGAAGAGGGTGGGAAATAAACAGCATTTGAGAGGTGTTATGGAAACACAAAGAACAACAGTCTTCCATCCCTGTTAAAAATGGAGAATAATGAGTCTACATCCTGAACCCAGCTCTCCGTGTTGGTACACATTTAATTGAACCTTAATGGGCAGTAGCCTGCACAGAGCAAAGAATAATTTTCAGGTCAAATATCAGTTTTCATTTGATACGACAGCTTGAAAAATCCTTGTATCAAGGATCCCAAATAATGACTTTGCCACTCATTAAGGCATGATCCTATGGCAAAAGGAAGCTACAGGTTATCTAGATATCCAGTGAAGCCATATAGATTTACACTCATCAAGGTTTCAGCCTATTGCTTTTAATGGAGCAATCTGGATTGTTAACAGCAGCAAATGGATCCAAAGTGCACTTGATTCAGCAGAGATTCAGAGGGTAGGTGAATCAGCTAAATGGCAGCAATATATCAGCCCCTTACTGGCTTATCCGAAAGCACTTGTGGGAAAGATGGCCATACAAATCCTACCAAATTTTGAAATTTTACTTTTTTGTCTACAACTCCCAAAATTCCTAGCAGTATACCTAGTGGCCATTCTGTCTAGGACATTTCAGGATTTCTAATCAAATAACATACATTTTCCAAGTTGCATCCTGCTAGACTATGATTTAATTACATTTTTAAGAAACCTACAGATGTAAAAAGATGACAGTAATGTTTAGCCACATTGTCATGGCTAGAACATCAAAAATACACTGCGGCACCTCAGCCATGCAATGCTGTCCTCCCTTTGGAGATCTCCTTGGTACCAACATTGCCTTTATTCCTGACTGATAAGAAGGCTGGTTTCATTTCAGTGCCAATATAGAGGTGACTCTTGATCAAAGCTCTGGTGCCCATGTTATCATAGCTTGATTGACCAATGCAGCATACACTGTTCTAAATTGCTTGCTTTGTATGGTTTTAATGGGGTAATATTGCTTGTAAATCACTGCACTTTAAATCCTTGGATAGAGGACAGAGTAGACATGTGTCTAGATGGGCGGGGTATAAATTTAATTAATTAAGTAATTGATTTTTAAAAAATAAATGACATTTCTCTAACCAGTGGTATGCAGGAACAAAATCAGTATTTCATCTCTAACTCTGCAGCTTAACATTGGGAAATTAATGTATCAATCTGCACATCATACAAAATCCCCCAACATATTGTTTTGAATTTCCCACCACTTTATGCATATAGCAGGTGTCTGAACATCCTCGTTATCTGATTCAGTCCTGTGAGCTATTATTCTACAAAATGCACAAGAATACATTAGTCCAATACTACAGTGGGTTGACTGATCATATTTACAGTTTCTAGGAGTTGAGGACAACTATGAAGAAGAAAAGAGACAGGACTCCTCCATGCTGACTGCTTTCCTAAAAGTGTTCCATTTTGAAAGGCAGGTAGGCACCACTAACATAACTAGAGAGCCATGACTTTGGGAAGTGTATAATCATAAATTAATGGAGTTGGGAAAAGCCTTTGAGATCGAGCATAACCTCTTGCTTCTTACAGGAATCAAAGTTAAAATATACCTGACAGATGGATATCTAACTTTCTCCTTCAGTGTCGAAGTGCTTACCACCTCCCAAGGTAATTGGTTCCATTCTTGTACTGCTCTAACAGTTCAGAAGTTTTCCCCAGTATTCAAATCTGGCTCTTGTAACTTAAGCCCGTTATTGGGTGTCTGAAACTCTGGAAAAATTGAGAACAGATCTTGCCCCTCCTCCATATGACAAATATTCAACTATTGGAAAAGTGCTATCGTATTTCCCCTCAGTCTGCTTTTCTCAAGGCTAAACATGCCCAGTTCTTTCAGTCTCTCCTCACAGTGCTTGGTTTCCAGTTCCCTGATCAACCTTGTTGCCCTCCTTTGAACCTACTCCAGTTTGTCTGCTTCCTTCTTAAAGTGTGGTGCCCAGAACTGGAAACAGTACTCAAGATGAGGCCTAATGGGTGCTGCATAGAAGGAAATGAGTACTTCTCAGGATTGGGAGCCTATTCTTCTATTAATGGAGCCTAAAATAGCATTTGCTTTTTTGCATTCACATCACACTGTTGGCTCATATTCAGCTGGTGATCTAAAACAATTCCAAAATCCTTCTAACCCATAGTATTGCTGAGCCAAGTATCATCTAGTAGCTGTGCATTTGGTTTCTTTTTCCTAACTGTAGAACTTTGCATTTATCCCTGTTCACTTCTAACCAGACAGGGAAGGAGGCCTATGGCCTGTGAGGCTGTCTGATTGGGAATACCTTCGCTGCCAGCCTTAGTGTCACTTCGGAATATGCAGTGCTCATCTTTGATGAAGTGTCCGCTCAGGACGATGTCTTGCCTCCTTTCAGCATCTTCTCGACCAACCCTGTTCAAGACAGAGCACAGTTACTCAGGAATTGAGGGACCAACTGCAAAATATTCTGAGTGGGTGCTCTTCTGAAGTTAATAATCAAGTTTCTCAGACAATCTATTTGTAAGCAGGCAGGAAAGTGAGGGATTATTGTTGCAGGATAGCACACCAGTTCTTACTTAGTTGTTTTGGTTGTGATACAGAAAAACTTCAACAGACTGCCATGCAATGTTATTGCCTCTTAATGCATAAGCTGTTCTGCCAGTGCCACTGAGATCGACATACCAGCAAACAGGCTGTATGGAATTTCACTTCTGTGAATATAAGAAGCAGTAGCAGTTCATTTTCGGAGTATCTTCCAGAAAGTTTAACAGAAATGACTCAGGCACTAATTACACATAGGGGGGAAAAACTTAAGCACGAGTAGTTGTTGCCAAAATTTGGATGGAGACAAATGTGCCTCCTTCTGAAAGCAGCACTGTGTGGCACCTGTGTTTAGTTGTACTCATAGTTACTGATCTGGTAAATGATATGTGAACAGAAGCCTGTTTCTGTACATAGACCTTCTTAGAGGAATCGGTATAAATAATTATGATGGTGATGTCCCATCAAGTCCATTCTAGGATTTTCTAGGTATCCAGTATCCAGAAGGGGTTTATCACTCCATTCTTCAGGGATTACTCTGGATTGTATAGTTTGCCCAAGGCTACATGTGCTGGCTTTTCTCCCCAGAGGCACAATGGGCAACCAAACTCCTAACCTCTGGCTCCGTAGTCAAGTACTCCATCTAACTGAACTATCTAGCCTTCAATTGGTGCATGTACACACATTTACACAGAGAGAGAATGTAGTCATATGTGCAAAAACACACAAAATCAGAAACAAAATCCTGCTATGTGAAAGCAATGACTCCTTACTATTATTATGTATCTTGTACAGTTCACTAGCATGTCTTTTTGAGCCATATAGTATAAAATAAAATAAACATTTAATAGAATGGAAATCCCAAGGTCGGTGACATCCCCCATCTTAGAGGGTTAAAAAGGGTATCTGACTCTGAAGAGGTCCTGCCACTAGTCAGTGCAGACAATACTATGTTGGATCTTGTTCAAAGCATTTCAGTTAATTTCTAGGGAGTTGTTTCTGCTATGCAGCTCACAGTGGGAGGCATTTGAATGTAAGATATCTCATGTTAAACCATACCAAAGCTAATCCTCTTTATCCTTGGAAAGTTGCTTGCTGTCAACATGTTCATTACCTGGTTATTCCATCTTTAATGTAGTATAGAAGGCACTCAGACATCAGCGGATCCTCATTCAGGTTGACTAGATGTGGTGTCTAAGACAGACAAAGAGAAAGTAAAAGAAATAAATTAAACTACTTTTCTCTTCCTGGGTAGAGGGCTAGCCATACCCTTCTGCTCTCAGTTGAAAGGAATCCATTTTGATAATACATGGCACCCTACAACATTTGGATATTGGAAGCACTAGTGCATGTGCCCCAACAGTGGCCTGACCTCCTTTGCTGTTCTGAGGTCATATTTGTAGATACCTTCAAAAACATTGGGAGACCATGATGTTTGGCACCTACCTCACATACTTGGAAATGCTTAAAGCTTGCACTTAAATGTGATAACAAACACAGTCCTATGCTTGAAGTTGGCAAAGCCACTTGTATCCCTGCATGGCTGAATATCTGAATATAATTTTTCTTGTCCAAAAATATAACTTTTTTAGTCCTGGCTAAGTTTCATTGGAAAAGGTAGAACTTGCTTCTACGTAAACATACATAAGGTTGCACTGCATGAATCCAGTCTAACGACCTCCTTAGAAAACAGCTTTGAAATTACATTTTATCATTGATTTTAACTTTTATGTACAACTTTATCATCTCAAGCAACCAATTGTAAAAGTAATGAATGTATTCCCTAAACAAATATATAAGCAGATCAAAACAATGAGATTAAAACTTCTTCATGTTGCTGTACCATGAAGAGTTGTATTCCTAGTTTAGACAAGGAATTCATTTCTACATTTTATAGCACACTTTCACTCAATAGTCTTCCTTGAGGGCACAAAACAAAATGGGGGGGGGGGTCCCTGACTGGCAGATAAGGAACAAATGTATGAATCAGAGTGGTTCAAAAACAGGAAGGTATCATGCGGCTTTCTAAAGATCAGCTGGTTTATTGAAGGGAACTGGAGTCATTAAATCCCTTAATCAAATTCATTCCATCAGGGTATTTCACTAATTGATGATCAAGGTTGCATGAAATCTATATGGTCTTCGGAAGTTTCCTTCTCTTAAATTAAATTTATACATCCAAAATGGAAACAACAATGACCTACACCACTCAAGCATTTTTTCATGCTCAACACAAATTCATACATAAAGTATTTTTTTAAAAAAGGTTTGATGGATATGATGATTCATCCTAGTGAATCAAATTGGTAAAACATCATACACTCATTAAGGAACTGTATACCACTGGAAGTGACGGGAGTCTTTAGTCAGTATGCACAGTATAACTGCAAAGGTCTCACACCAGCCTGAGTTTGAGTCATGCATCATGCTAGAATAACTTTCTGAAGAATACAGTTATTGCCACTTTTCCCATATCATTTTAAACACCATGCAAGTCATACTAGAGATTATTTATTCATGCAAGAGCTGGGAATCTGCACAGAGCAAATAAGAATACTCAAATAAAACTAAACCTTAAATACTTTCAGATTTGTAGAATCTTCTTTTGTATGATATATAAAGCTTTTCCTGCAAACATAAGTTTAACTAAACCTTAAATACTTTCAGATTTGTAACACCAGGGACTGTAGAATCTTCTTTTGTATGATATATAACGCTTTTCCTGCAAACATAAGTTCCTAGCTGATATACTGTGCTTTTGTGCTATCAGTTGTCCAGCACATGGAGTCTCAGGTTGGCATTGTTGGGCAGCTATCAAGGTTCCTCCCCACACATAGTGCTTATCTTTTCTGCATCACTCTGCTTTTTGTGACAGTGGCTTCTGATTCTGCCTGATCAAGTCTGGCTCTGCCATTAGGTAGAACAAGGAAGCTATCTGAGGCAGCAGATATTGGGTGTCAGGAAAGGCAGCAAATATTACTTACATAATATTATCTGCCTGTTTATCTATCTGTATGTCTGTTTGTTCTTACTACCCCTGATGGTGAGGTATGCTCAGTTCATGGGATTTTTTGTTTCTGTTTGTTCTTACTACCCCTGATGGTGAGATATGCGCAGTTCATGGGATTTTCTGTTTCATACAATATTTTTCTGTGTATAAAATGACATTTTTTCCTAAAATAATTAAAGGAAAAATTGACGGTCGTTTTATACATGGAAGTAAGGAGCGGGAGGGATCAAAGTGTTTTCCCCCTGAGGGTCATTTTATACATGGAAGTAAGGAACGGGAGGGATCAAAGCGCTTTCCCCCTTTTTGCAAAGAAAATGGAGGAGAAAAGTGATTCCTCCTGTCCCCCTTCATTTTCATTGCAAAAAGCTGCTTTCCCCCTCCACTTTCTTGCAAAGAAAGAAATGTTGGGTTAGAAAAGTGGGGGGCGTCTTATACATGGGGAGTCTTATACACGGAAAAATACATTATGTCAAAATTGGATCTGAATATTAAACACCTTGAAATGGATGGTTGGGGAGGCTATCTTTTGCTGCTGTAACTCAGGCAACAAAATCTCTTTGGGTGACTATGCATATGATCAGTATACAGCATGCCAGCAGCAATAACAACTGCAGGAATTTCCAATAGTGGTAAACCCTCACTTGTTCATATGGGAAGAAAGGACATTTTAGATTGTTGTAGCAAAAATAATTGTCTTGTGGATTCTACCGGGTCACAGAACTCTGTTTTTGCTGTTTAACCAGATCGACAAGCAAGTGGCAATGATGGCTAAGAGTGGTAGCCACTGCTACCTATATACTCCTTGTTTTTCAGTTTGAGCTACTTTAGCTGCCTTTCCTAATTACTCGTTTGCCCACTCTGGTGAGTGGAATGGGAATAAACTTGTTGCTCCTCAGAAAAACACAGGAACCATTGTTCCTTTTGCAGGTGGCAGGAGGACAAGTCAAGCACAACAGAAGCAGCCACATCAATGCCTGCTTTCTTCATCCATGTGACAGACGGAGGAGAGGGTGTGTTACAGCATGTGGCAGCAACAACAGCTTGCAGAGGGATCCAAAGGAAGGCTCTTTGCCTTTGAGGAAGATTCTTAGTTTTATGAACATGCCGAAGATCTGTTCAATCTATGGCATCTCTATGGAAGAACAGGAAAGACTCCTACATAAACTCTCGGAAAGCTAAGCATATATAGATGATACTATGTTAGAAAGATCAGTGGTATGTGTAGACAAAGCTGAGCCAATCTACAATATAAAGCAGCTTCCTAAGCGAACCCACCCCATTCTGGAGCAGACCCTGAAGCCAATATTTAAGGAACACAGTCACCTAAATATAAACTAGAGTTGGTCTTAAAGCTCAGAATCTGTGGAACCTAAGTAATCTGTTTAGGTCTCAAAATATAAACAAACAGCTCCAGTACAACTTCAGTTATAGATTTTAAAATCTCGTGGATTTTTTAAAAAGTGTAACTCTTTAAAATGGATGGGTCCTTATCAACATTAATTTTATTCTTATTCTCAGTTTATTCCTCACTTCCCCCCCCCAAGGATATTTTATCATATTGTACAGCTTTTCTCAACATAGCACAGAAAATCAACTACTGTAATTATGCATTTCAAATCAATTAACCACTTGTCAGGAGGAAGGCAATCAAGAGATTAAAATCAAATGATTGATAGCCTTGGTTATAACTGCAAACAGAAACATGAACAAGCACCCAGTAGCAACTACTACGGTTGAGTTCACTTATCCTGACCCTGAGCTATCAGCAGCTCAGGGCTCCCTGCAGTCAACAGACAGTATAATGCAGAACTCTCTCTCTGCTAATGGGAGAGGGACTGTATAACCGTCTTGGACATTGGGCAGCATATCTAGCCATATGGCTTAATAATCAAGCTCATTACATCACCCCATGAAATTATCTGGATTACATAATTCAAAGAAAGCTTGCTCTACCTTGTTGTGTTTTTTATGTATTACTTACTGCAAAACAGCTTGTAAAACAGTGCTTCTACTCACTATTCTAGCAAGTAGTACAGAATTAAGTACTCTTAGCACAAGACAGAATAAGCATGTCTCATGTCATAGGATAAAATATGTTTTAAAAGAGAATCACACAGATCACTCCAACACAACCTTCCAGACCAACCTTCTTGGGGGAATGTACCCCTACACTCTCCAGGAAAACATCCTGGGGGTTAACTGGTAGTGGCTACATAGCAAAAAAGGGGGAAAGAAAAACAAATTAAATGTGCAATAATCATTATGACAATCTTGATGAACATAGGAACCAACTTAAGGAAATAATATCTGGCATTTCTTCTAGGGACTATAGTTTAGTATCTTGGTTACCTTCCACTGCACTGTGCTAGTAGACCAGTTACTGGTATTTATTTATTTATTTATTTATTTATTTATTTATTTATTTATATCCCGCCTATCTGGTCAATATGACCACTCTAGGCGGCTTATGTTATGTTATACAACCAATATGAACAGTCTCCTGGCCTGCCCTGTTACACCACTATGTTGTTGTTGTTGTTGTTGTTGTTGTTGGGACTGCTATCAAATATCTCCTTACACTGCCTTGAAGAGAAAAAAATAGGTGCTTAGAGAGTGTTTTTTGTTGTTGTTGTTTTGGGGGTTTTTTTGAGGGTTTTTTTAAATTATTACTTTTGCTAGCAATGAGAATAAATTATTCGGGAATCAGACACATTGATGGAATAAAAGTCTGCTACTATTGGCAACATCTGGATAATAACTGGAAAGATTGTTGCCTTCTGCTTTCTTTGTGGGCAATCCAGATGTATCTGGAATCAGAATGCTGGGCTAGACAGACCATTGATCTGAACTAGACAGATTATTGGCCTGAATCAGCAGATTACTTTTTATAGTCTTATTCTTAAGACTATAGTTGTGCTGCTGAATGAAAGACTTCATCTCAATCTCTCAGTGATTCAATAGCCATGGATCTTGCAGCAGTAATGTAATACTGTTCTATCGCTAAGTGCGTGCAAAATATACAGCAGTGGAAGAACACCCAAAACTAGTTCTAACAGCGACAAAGCACCAGTACAACTGCATTACAAGACTCCAGAGCAGGAGGGGAGTATAGTCTTCTACTCAAAAACCAACAAATTATACACATCAAAAGATTGTTATACATCAAGAGAAAGAACTAATACATAAAGACATTTCTGTTGTGCATACCTGTCTTTCTAGGACAGGTTGATTTTTAAAATTATTATTAATACACAGTGCTGCACAGATAGCACATTCCAAGATATATCTGAACACTGCAGAATAAACAGAAAAGGAATCCTACCTTTTTAGGAGAGAACACCCCCAGTGTACCACCATCTTCTCTCATAGCCACTCCCATTTCTGCAAGCAAAGCTTCCCTAGAAAATATCAAAAGAAAGATCTGAAATCTCTGCTGGGGCCTGTCTCTTGTCCTGGCGATGCAGACATCCTCAGGAAGAGAAAGCACCACACTGTCTGAGCAGAATTAATGCCTGTATGTATACATCATAAAAACAGAAGGACTTAGGAAGAGTAGATGTGGAGAAGGAATGGACAAAGAACGGGGGGGAGTGGCAAAGATCTTGACAACAGCTCCAGGACACAGAATAAGTGAAAATAACAGAGGAAACACAAGCCAGAGTGAGTGATGAATGGATTCTCCTGTTTCTCCATATGTTAGTGAGATAAGTAGGAAGTAATTGCGCTCCAACATTTGACACATTTTTTTTTGTTTTAAAACAAGGGTCTCAAGTAGCCCTTATTGGTCCAACAATTCCTAAATTTGCAGCTCTCAGACTGTGCATAAGTCACTACAAGTTACCAGTATACTATTTGAACATAATGCCAGGAAGAGACTGCTGCACATATGGCTTTAACATTTTAATACATGTGGCTCACCAGTGCAAGGAGCATTTCCCTGCCACTGCAGAAGCAAAGTCTAACAGTGGCACATGAACTCTCTTCTTGAGATGGTGTTGACGTCACATGATAAAATATTGCATATGGTTTACATGAAGGCGTCTTCATGTAGTTTAAGGCACATAAGGTATGTATTGCTCAGATCAACCTCAAAGTAATCACTCTGCTGAATGAATAAAGATGTTGCACTGAAGCAAAACACTGAAACACATTAGATTGGTGCCTTACTACTGGATAAGCAGTAATGTAATAAACAAAACAAAACAAACAAACAGAATCAAATGTGAATTTTTTATCATGAATACACAATCCGGACTCACAGCTCAATCCTTACCTCTCCATCCGAATTGCTTCTGTCCTACGTAGCTTTTCCTCCCATGTTTCATTCAGTTCAGCAATGATCTTCTCTGTTTCCTGCAAAGTATACATGAAACATCAACAGATTGAACTGGATACATTTGACCTGCAATCTTTTATGCAGTGATCATCACCTTTACTGGTGTTTGAATTCACTATGTTAAAAAGTAACTTACAGTTAGAGTAGGCCTATTTGAATCAAGTGAACTTGTGGAGAAATTGACTATCAAGCCTCATTGATACAATGGGCCTACTCTAGTGTGATTTACTAAGCAACAGGATTTGGGCCACTGGAACTTCAGCAATTGTGTCAATGGTCTATGATCAGGAAGCTTAATTGTCTATGGCCAAACACTTGATAGGACTTTAGGGCCCTAGAGATGCTCTGTTCTGTGAATTTAACTGACTGATTTCAATGGTGCTGAGTAGGGTAGGGTAAAAGCCACAAAAATGATACTAAGGGGTCTTATGCAGCTTATCAGCCACATGCTGCCCAGCTACAAGCTAAATGCATGATCTAAACTCATTTAACGGGTAGCTTGAATTTTTCTCTCTCCTCATATACTCTTTTTTTAGGACAATAATGCTTAAACGCAATCATATTGCTTGAAATGAAATTTCTTTCCCTGTATCTCCGCAGTACCAATATGCTATGCACAATCCTGGGTCTCACCTTCAGTCTCTCAATGGCCTCTTCACTACCTGGAGCAAACATCATGCGTTCATGGAGACTGGAGACAGAAGCGGCTCGGCTGGACAAGGCGGAGAGTGAGGAGGAGGGGCTCATTCCTACCAAAGCATTGGTCACTGTGGAGAGATTGTCATGGCGTTGACTCATATCTGCCACTCTACGGTTATCATTATTGTTCTCAAAGTCGGACATGTCTATGGGGTTCAGGAAGGGAGAAAGAAGAGGGAAAGACACGAGACAAGAAGGAAGGAAGGAAAAGATAGAGAAAAGAATTGCATTTGGGAAATAGCAACATGATGCAATGAGGAGAAAGATAGAAAATCAACAAAGAGATAACGCAGACAGTAACATAGCTAGAGATGCCAGGGCAAGATCCTCACACCAGCTCAAGCATTCACTCTACGCCCTGTGCAGCTTCTCTTACGCACTAATGCAACAGATTTTATTCATTTCTGTTCCTTGAGAGAAACAGACAGCACGCTTTTTCTGAGTTTCTCCAACAGCATTCTATGGAAGTGACAGTGAAATTACTCGTGACTGTGTCCGTTAATGACCTGCAGAAGGCAAGGTATCTTTTTTTTTAAAACTGGCTTTCCAAAAGCTGAAAATGTTTTTTAATTCTTGAAAACTACTCTGCAAACCTTATTAAAGGGTCAAGGCCAAAACAAAACAAAAGAAGGAATAAAGTAATAGGGTCTGAAACATAACTTGACTTGTGAATGTGGATAAGATGACATCTACCTGCATGTCTACATATAAGGTCCACTGGAACATCCATTCAGGAATTCCTGCTGAAAACAAATGCTGAAAGAGCTAGAACCATCTAGCTTTCTGTATTTGAACATCCAGAAAATATCTTAACAGAAGACTGTTCTCTAGCTTCCTATGTCAAGGGACACTGACCATGTAAGAAGTAATCACAGGATCCTTCTCTGAAGCCCTATGATTATGGATCTATAGATTAGATCTATACATTATAGATCTAGTCCATAAAATGCTCTCACCAGAGAAGCCTGCCTTCCACCAACACTGTTGCCATTTTAGTGCATGTCAAAACTCATTTATTTGCATTTAAAGTGTTTCACTTCATCTAGTCTGCTTTGCTGTTCTTATGTTGTTAATTTGTTTTTATTGTGATGTGCTTTTACAATTTTATGGTTTATAGTATATTTATGCCCCTTGTATAGCTGATATTCTAGGATAAAGTGTTGAAAATATGTTACTAAATAAGCACATAATACATAAACATGACACAGCTTGTAAATGTGGGCACTGAGTTATAAGAGTTTCCAGTGAGAACTGAATGCTCAAGTTAGAGAAATGTTCCAGAAATGTTCCTTTGCCTGAAGATTGTATATTCACATTCTTTTCCCTTATTGCTGCAAACTTCAGAATTAGAGGTTACAACTATCTCAAGACATTTTGCCACTTGAAGCAAAGAACAAGATGGCACTCCACCCTTGTTCTGTGTACGGAAGCCAATTGGAACCAGCAGCTGAATCTCATTTTAATACTGGAGACTGGTCAGGGACATCCCAATTGCATCTGAAACATCAGAGAACTTTAGGAAACATAGCCACAGGCCATGTGGCATACACAGGTGTGTGGATCTAAGAAAAACACCAAGGTGGGTGTGATTCTGCTGCCTTCTGGCATCAGCCACTTGAGGTGACTGCCTCATTCCGGCTAATGACAGGGCCAGCCCTGCTACATGTCGGTGAACAGGTAACAAGTCATGAAGCCATTCACAAGAGTAGTACAGTTATTTTTAAAGAAGCTAACTGTGGTTCCATAGAATTGGGAGTAGAAGGCAGCATGTAGGCATGACTGACCCAAAGGTCAATGGTAGGAGGTACTTATTAGGAAAAGGCTCTGATAACTTGCTTAGCACACCCAATCTAGTTCCACTGGGGTCTCTTCCACAGACACAGAGCTCCTTGCCCAATTCTCACCAAAATTAATTTCAGTCTTTAATGTATTTACTCACACCTATTGATTTCAACTGGAAACAAATTGCCAGTGAAATACTATGCATGTCTCAATAGTCTGGATTCCCTTGCCTTCAAACCAAGATAATTCTATTTCACCTATTTCTCTTGTTGGCATTACATTAGAAAGATGCAGCTATTCTACAATTTTCTCCCTAGCTGCTTATCAACTTCTTCAATATGCAACATAGGCATAAGAATAAAACGATGGAATGATGTTAAATGTCCCAAAGACTCTTGTTCTTTCATATGTTGCATCTGCCACATAAATGCTACTGATAAATATATTTAAATGTGGATTAGTTAATGGACAGTGCAAAAACAAGGAGCCCACACATGAGCAGTATATAAGTATCTGGGGCTCTACTAGGAGAATTCACACACAGCTAATATCAGTGTGCCAGAATTTCTTCAAATCCATGAATGCTGCATGTTAACAACACATTGGTTTTATGAGATTTGCATACTGAGTAAAAATCATTTCTAGCAGAAAAATTAATAGATTACAGCTGTGTTAGTATAGGATTAACTATTTATAAGAACTTGAAATTGGAAACTGTACGTAATTTCCACTTTTGGCAAAGGTCTGTTTGGAAATTTTATTTGAAAAACCAGGAGACATTTCCTTTGCGTACTTCTAGACAGTCCTTTTATTGTGTCACTGCCCTATAATGTTGCATGTCATGGAATATTGCAGGCCTTGGGGAATCAAATGATATTGCTTTTGTTTTGCAACCTTTGCACATTCAACCATGGCTTCTTCCACATAAACTTCACAAAAAATCCATTAAAAATTAAGAGTGAAGTAGCCAGCTGCACAGCACCTTGTGAGTAGTACCATTAGAGATCACCTGCGAGAAGCATGCTTTGGTGTAGATTGGGTTAGGATAGCTGCTGTCATAGTCTGTTTGGTATTATAAAAGCCTGAAGATGCTCAGCACTGAGATGATGGCAAATAGTGTGAATATTCGGTTTCTTGAGCCAAAATTCTGGATTGACTTCCTTCTTCACCTGCTTGCATTGTTTTAAGGGACAGAGAAATAGAGAGATGGTAGTCCATGCCATGTATCTTTGTATTGATAAGATCAAAGACATCTGACATCCATGAACTCCAGGAAAACACCCTGAAAGCTTTAAACTATGTTTTCTTGCAGCTTCTTTGTGCATATTTTTAAATACAACAAAGCATCCCTCAGACTCTCATTTTTGCAGCAAAAAATTAACCTGGGCATTCCAGATACAGCCACAGGATGCGACGTAAAGCATGTAAGCTGTTCTTTCCTCTGCTGCTAAATATTCAGCATCTGTTCTCAATCTTGGCTGGAACCCAACAGAGCCTGAAACCCAGGCTTCTCTCCACCACCCCTATATAAAGTTTTAAATTTCAAGAAAGGCTTGAGCACTAGGGAACATTTTTGCCTCAGTTTCATCCATCACTAACCCTCACAAATCTTTTGAGGCGGGCAGGCAGCAGAATAAATAAGGACACTGTTTCTTGGTGCAGATTTGTAAACAAGCAGTGAAGTGCTAACACTATGACTAAGGCGAAATGATTAAATTAATCATTAGAAATACAGACAAACATAAAATCAGAGAATTGAAAAGTTGGCTGAGATTTCAGATTAATACATCATATATCCAAAATATAATGAACAACAGAATTATTGTTATACAATTTTATGCTTTAATCTAACTCAAGGAGATTGGGAGGGACAGAATATGTGCAGCTTGGAGAGTTTACTTCCAAGACCTAGTTGATGTTTTGATACACCAGCCATTAAAGTAATCTTCCCTAATATTGTGCTTTCCAAATATCAATGGCTACAATTACTACAGCTACGTTGTCTACGGGTTGTTGGGCACAGCAGTCCAATGTGTCTAAAGAACACCATGTTGGGCATGTTGGAAGGTTCTACTTGCCTACCCTTGCTTTACTTGTGTGCTTTCATCAGAGCGTAGGCTGAACTGATCACAAACAAGGCACAGGCTGCAGGGCCCTCTAGCATGTCAGCAAAAGCCAGATGCATTTTGTCAAGCCCCAACACCAGAGGGGCTCCTCCAGCAGTGTTCCTGATAGGCACAACCATACAACCAACAGGAGGGCCAAAAAGAGTTATTGGTTATATTTGTGCCTCTGGTGGCCTGAAGCGTGTCTTAGGGCTTCCTGGGAGGCTATTTTCTCCACTCCCAGGTTGAATATATTGGTTAACACCCCCCCCCCGCAGAAGCAGCAACAGCAGCAGCACCAAGCAGAAGGAAACACAATTACAGCATGGAGAAAGGAAACAGCATGAGCAAAACCTGCACAGAGTTTTTTTCAGTGGAGATACAACACTGTCAAGCTAAGGCGAAGAATTGCTGGCTTTCATCAAAAGACAAAACTAACTCAAATATAACTGGATTAACGTGTTCATTTAATTCATGGATGAACTTGTCAATCACAGCTAAGAAAAAAATAATCACTTCACACTAGGGGTTGGGAAAATTGTGGCCCTCCACATGTTGCTGAATTACAACACCTATCATCCCACATCAATACCTATGTAGTCCAGAGGTGATGAAAGTTGCAATCCAGCAATATATAAATGGCCACATATTTGCATCACCATGTTTTAGGGCAGCCATTCTCAACAGAGGCCATATGGCTACCTGTGAGGCCATGGCACGTTTGAAGGGGGCACAGACTGAAAACAATTCTTCACACACCACCTGTAAGGTTTGTCATGTGACTTATACAATTTTGATTCGGCCTCTATTTCTCTCATATTTTGTTTATGGCAATGCCCCCCTCCCAAAAAAATTGAGATTGGCTGCTTTAGAGTATTTTCTGGCAAAATTGTTGGGTTGGGATGGATCCTTTCCTTCTGAAAAAGACAAAAAGGCAAAAGCTTGGTGGGCTCACAACGGGGCTTCTTAATTTGTTCATTTAATTCATGGATGAACTTGTCAATCACAGCCGAGGAAAAAGAGAATCACTTGACAGTAGGGGTGGGAAAATTGTGGCCCTCCAGATGTTGCTGAAATTACAACACCTATCATCCATAAAGAAAGGCCTTTGTTGCGGATGGCAAGATGCAAGAAACCATATCATTGGTGCCCTATGCACCTTGGAAGTAGCAGGAAGACACAATGTCCACATTTAATGTTATGGCTGGATTTTGTGTCCTATATATCGAGATCATGGGGGCAATATAGCTGATTGGGAAGGGCAGCTATGTAGATAAACATGTTCCCAGTTGCTTTGCTGAACTGTAACTGGGTTGCTGAGTCCATTTCTCATGCTGTGCATGTGTTCCTTTGCTATGCCTGAGTCTGTGAGAAGCAATGAAGCACACAGAATACCAGCAATGGGGAATACACACATTTAGGTCCTCCTGGAACAGGATTGGCTAAGAGAGATGAGAAAAGGTTGGGGGAGGGAGAAAAGACAAAGAAAACAAGAGTAGGTTCATCTTATAGGATTAAAGAAACAACACCTGAGGGCTTTTCCACACATCCAGAATCCCTGAAATTTATTCTTAGTGCTTCATTGATATATGCCATGTTCACATACTGCAAAATAGGAATTAGCCACATTGCACTGGGAGCTCTCCTTCACTTCAGTTAAATGGAAAGATGTGTGTTCCAGTTACACATTCCTTTAGACAAATGAAGTAGTGGGGTGGCAAGAAACAAAGCAACCCCCACCCAAAACAAAAAGAGGGCTAATAAAACAATGAAGCAGGGGCAAGGACAAGCCCTGCCAGCTTCCAGTGGCAATTATACTGTCATTCTGATGGCACCACACCACTCTAGCAGTCACTTCCCCTGTCACAACATCTACTTTCACAATGGTTGCCTGCATCAGGCTCTGTGGACATCAATCAGATCCTTCTAGCAACAGACTACTGCAATTTGAGGGCAAATATAAATAAAGGAATACATTCCACAGCAAATGCATCTTCTAGAGAAAAGTCATTCAGATCTTCTGTAACCACTAAGCAACAATATTTCAATTATTGCCTAATTAAATTGTTGACAGGAAAGGCCCTGAGATGCATATCCTTCAAGTCAAATAATCCTTTCCCCATTCACAGCTTGGTGGGCTCACAACGGAAGCTGTGGAAGTGCCTGTTGGATTGTAACGTGTTGAGACAATTCTTCACAGGAAGAGAATAAGAGTATTTTTGTTATCCCGTTATTATTGGAATAGTTTGTGTTCTGTGACGTCAAGGCAGCACTGACTTATAGCGACCCTAATAAGGCTTTCAAGGTAAATGACATCTTTAAACAGTAGGATGGTAATCAGCTTCAAACTGACAAGGAAATGTTGATAGTAATGCCCAGAACTGGAAGTGCAAAGAGGAATAATTTTGGAGGGAACTCAGAGGGAACCAACAAGGAAAGAAAGGGTGGAGTCATAAGAGTTCTAGGAAGAGAGTTCCCTTAGCATTGCTCTCCATGAGACACTTGTGGCTTATGGCTGTTCAGCTGCACTTACAGAAGTGCTTACTGCTGGTGGTTGGGAGCATTTCACATGCAACAGGTCCACAATTAACCTTGATAATTATCACCACGTGATAGCTTGAGACAAAACAGCTTGATTTAGATATTTATGGAAAGGTGTACACATGGCCTGTGGTGAGCCACTGCAAGCTTCACAGACATGGACTGACTAGTGCACACGTGGTTACTCTAATGTGTGAGCAGGCCCTTCCCTCCATATTGTTACTTTGAAGTAGACTAAGAAAGCAGTGGAGCTATTAAGCAGAAAGAGCAACCATGCAGCAGGTGGATTCTATTCAAGTGAGCTGAGAGAGACAATGTAGAGAAATACCCTCCCTCAGTCCAAATTCAGTGTCCAGAAAGTCAACATACTGTCAATGATATCTCCCAGGCCCTGGGCATAGAGTAGGTCTCTCAAACGAGCCACTTCATCCTTCAGTTCTCTGATCAGCTTGTTGTTGGGATCTTCATTAATGACAGCATTGCACCTGATCTGTTTAGCACGGTCGGCATATCTGTGGGAACAAGATGCAGTCTAGGTAAAGCACAGCCTGTAAAAAATCTCATATAGCCTGGTATGGAAAAGTAGCTATGAGCTGAACTCCCCAGCCGGGTTTGGAAACTCAAGCTACTTCTTCCCTCATCTAGATGAATTCTAGGTCAGTTTGGGGACAAACTAGACCAGCTGGCACATTCACTTGATTGCATGAGTGTACACTGGAATTCATTCCTCTTCTCAACACCTTAGTGGGCTTATAAACACCCTCCCTTTCCACTTGCCCCATCTTCCTTTTTTAAACTCTGAAGTGAAGAACAGCACCTTTTAATATATGCTTCATATCTGAGGTGGGAATAAAAAGTCACCAAAATTTGTATTGTCAAGACAGGAGACACAAGCGATTTTGCAGTGTATTAGATATGGAATGGACTAGTTCAACTGTCTTTAAACTAGTTCTGGCCTCCTTCTCAGAAATACTGTATCAGTGAAGCCTTTGAATGCATGCATTGACTTGAATTAGAGTTTGCATGTGAATGCTTTCATTCTTCAATTTCAATACTTTTATGCAGTGCCAAACTGAACATAAGGACAATCTACAAACATACAGAGAAGTTGTGAGACTTCACATGTGCTTGTGACAGCACAGGAAATGTCATCTGAAATGGAGGAGCTCAGTCACTGTAACTAAGAAGCTGTGAGGATGATAAGAGCAGAAAACATGCTGGGAAAGGAGTACAGGAATACTTTCACCTAGCTTAATTTAATAATAATTGTGTGCTGTAAAGTTAATTCTGATCTACAGAGACCCTTTCCAGGGTTTTTTAGGTACAGAGTACTGAAAAGTGGTTTGCCCTTCCCTCCTTCTGGAGGCATCCTGGGACGTTGCAGCTTGCTCAAGGCCTCATAGGCTGGGTCTTCTGGGATGCAAAGCAGGGAACTAAACTAACCCACAGAGTACTCCTGCAATAAAATCAGATACAATATTGGCCCTGTGAAAGCTTTTACTAATTAAGAGATCTGTTGACTATATATATATACAGATCTCTTAATTAGGAAAAGCTTTCACATATGCATATCAATCTACTCTTCCAAAGTGCAAAACAAGAATGAAAAGAAAAAAATAAAAGAAAGAAAAAGATTTATTCAACAATAAGAAGAAATCAAATTATCAATTGATCAATATCTGCCCAGGGCCTTGTGTGGAAATGCTTGGAATGGTTTAGAATAGTTTAGAATAGGAAGCCTGGAGGAATCTACATTTTGAAATATAAATGATACTTTTCTCATTTTTAAAATTTCAATTAATGCTTCAGTAGTCATTTCTACTATTAGAAGAGTTTATTTGGCACCCAAACATTTTTCTTCCCAGAATATTTTGCTAAACAAAGCAAAATCAGAAAAAGGATACTTTTTCACAAA